TTGTTGATGTGAAATTTGAACCAGACCTACAGATACAGCCTCACATATTTTTACAAATATTGATGCAAACAGCTTTAAAAAACTAAAAATTAAATTGCCTTAATAAAAACAATGAAAGGGGGACAGGGGAAGGTCTGAGGCTGTTTTCCAGATGCCACCTGAAACAAAGCTTTATTGTTAATTACTAGGACTAGTGCAATTTTAAGCAAGTCATGCACTGTGAAACTAGTGTTATAACTACCATACTCCTCCAGTCATTGTAAGAACAGTTCAGGGGAACTTAGAAATAGTAATAATTTCCATTATCAGTGTGCTTTTTTTTTTTAATGAGTATTATCTATTTCTATCTATTCAGAAGCAACTGCTGATTCACAGAAGGTGAGAGAGAACTCAGTATTGCCCAAAATATAAGAAACTGCTAAAATAAATCACCTTAAATGAACACCATGAATGCAGACTGGAGTGCTTCACTATTGTAAGAAAAATGGTGTTCATACTAGTGGTTTATTCTCCAATAATAATAGTTGCTGCATGGAAGAGATGCAGTTCTATCTACTATAGCTGACCTTGCAGCATTTGCCATTTTTTATTTTCCTCTTTGAAATGTAAGGAAACATTTTGGGGAGCTTTGTTAGTTTTTAAAGAAAGGATGCCCTTCTTTTAGTCCCTGTTCTCCCATTTGACCTTTTCCTTATCATCACAATTCTCTTTACCTTGACACTCATCACATTCTCTGGCTTGATTGCCAATTCAAAAGATAAAACATAAAAAATATGAGACTGCTTTGTTTCTTCTATTTTTATATGAATTTATTGCTTGTGAATGGCGCTAGATAGACAGCCTGGGAGTCTGATGTTTCAATGCAGATATTTTCAGACTTTTTCATTAATATGTTCAACCCTGACCTGGAAAAGCTGCCTCTGTGGGTGTGAGGACAGTTCATTCTCCACAGCTCATTTATTCCGTATCTTCTTTGCTGGAACTGCCATCAAGATTGCTAATTATAGTAATAGGTTTGTGACGTGGGCACTTTTCCCTTAGAAACTGGTCGGACTCATTTGATGTAGACCATAAAGCAGCCATTAGAGGGTATCAACATTTAGTTGCCATCATCTTGGTTGAGATATGAACCAACGACCCAGATCCTCCTGGCTTCTTTTCTTCCATTAAAAAAAAAAAAAAAAAAAAAAAGCTATTAAAGCATTGGGGTTTTATACATATATGTAAAACTAAGTGTGTGTCTGTGTGTAAACTTTAGTAGACTTTCTTTAGCTACTAGGTATATTGTGGCCAAAACCAGAAAATCAATCCCAGCTTTTTAAATGGGTTTCAGATTTGTTTTCAACAAGGGTTTCCTGGTTATTTTTAATTTCAAGAGCCTAAATCTACATAGTTGGTATTGTGTTATAAAGTACAGTAAATTCCTGACTAAAATAAAAACATGTCCCCTAAAGTGCCATGAGGTTAAAAGGTTTAAGTCTAATGGAAAACCTGTTGGGCTATTACTTATTTAGAAACCCATGGAAAAGCTTAGTTTCCAAAATAGTGTCAGGTCTTACTATCTTAGAATTTCTTGTTATAAGACAAAAGAGCTATGGAGGTATTTTCTAGCTTTAAAGCCCTGTTTTTATTGGTCTAGCAAAGTGAAAGCAAATATTTTAATGCCTCAAAATCTTTCTTAGGAACTTCCTTTTCCTGTTTTCTATATTCCTCTAAGATAGCCTGCCAGGAGAGGGCAGAGATGAGACTGGGACTGACACACATTTGAGCGGGCAGCACCGCAAATGATAATTTATCAAAATGAAGCAAAATGGATACTCTGGGTATGTTTCCAAACTTTTGGATGTCCAAGTTCATATACAGCCGTTGACGCTTGGGACTGTCATTCCTGTGTTCTCCTTACACACTAAAATTCTGCCTTTCACAGCTGTGAATATGGACTGACGTACTTGCTACACATTTAAAATGTTTATGGGGATTGCCAGCAACTTAAGTCACATTCAAGATGGCTGACTCTTGCAACTTCCATTGTTTCTTTATAGTACAGTATTTAACCTGGCTGTATTTAAATGTAAGGACATTTTTAAAATTGTTTACTTAGGCTGAAATATTTCATGTTGCTGTCCTTCGTGCTTTCTATAAACGTTTCCTTTAAGTGGAAAAACTCTGGTTTCTTCTTTTATGCCTCCAACAACTCCTTCCACTGTGACAGAGGTAAAATGCTACCTTCTGAACAAGCAAGAGAAAAAGAGCACATACCCATACCCATACGTGTGCACATACACATACACATGTCATGCACCTGGACGTACCAGACTGATTCCATGACACCAGGGTTAACTAATGAATTTTCCTTTAAATATTGTGTTTAGAGACAAAAAGCTTTTATTGCAAGTGAGTGGTACTAGAAATCTTCACACTTATTTTTTTATTTAATTTTTAATGGAGTAACCACATTGACTTCAAAGATTTGCTTCTGATTTAGTCTGGTTTAAGATTACATTTAGGTGTGACTGCAGTATGTGTGGCCCTCCCTAGTTTAGTTTTAAACTAGCTTGAGTATAATAGTACTGATAGTTGTGCGCCCATGGCAACCCATTCGTCAGCACAGCCTAACTGCCCAAGCATTTACCCAGGCTCATAGGTAGGCTTTGCAGCCCATGCTGAGCACCATGCTGCTTTGGCTACACTGTTAAGAGTAGATGAGGTAGCTAATTTAAAACTGTCTTCAAGCTAGCTAACTGTGAGCTGTAGTCACACTTTTGATAATAATTTAGATCAGACCCTATCTGAGATCAGTAATCCTATTATTATTTATTTATTTTACATAATTCGCCATAAATTTATAGAGTTGTTTCCCCGAACATTAATAAAGGAGGTCCCCTTTCCGTTTTGAAGGTCAGTGCTTAAATTGAACCTGCAAATCTACCAATTGCTCAAGCTTATGGAAACTAATATATCCGAGTATATACAGTTTGCCCAACACCATGGTTTCTTAGCTACCATTTAACCATTCAGATCCCTATTTGTGTTTGTGATAGGCATGGGTGCAGATTTTGCAGGTGCCAGCCAGCCTTTGCTAATTTATCTCTCTGACTGCTTGGGTCATGACCAGATTTTTGTATCCTGAGTGCTCAGCAGGCTGGCATTGAAAGTGACGTGTTTGAATTATTCTCAGGGGAAGCACCTCCTCACAGTCTGGAGAAAGTGAGGGAAGTACATGAGTTAAAAAAAAATTCAAATCTCATAGTTGCTCTGATCAGATCTCTGTTTCTGTGGCAATAAGAACCAAAGATGGCCTTTTAAACTCAGAGTTCATCTACCAATTTCTAGATTCAGGACTCTGTTTCAGGATTTTCAAAATATCCAAGTGAGCACTTAAAACCCACAAAACTTACCTTTACCTAATTTTCACCATTTTAACCTAAGTTTCCACGGAAACAGGGTTGAAAAAGCCGCTGGTAGCCAGCAGGCAGCCAGCAGCTGAGAGTGAGAACTCTCCTTTGTCACTTTCCACTACTGGATGCCTGCTGAGCCCTGAAAGCGCCAGTTTGCAAAGCCACCTAATTTTCTAAAATCTGCAATACTTTCCATTTGAGGGGGGAAAAATTAAATTAATCTACTCTTTTCTTCCCTTGGATTGGCACAATAAATTCCAGGAGGGCAAATGGGCTAACGAGTTCTGATCTGTTCAGTTACACTGATACGCACACAATCAGAAGCCTTGCCAGCCAATCAGATTTATCCTCTCATCATTTCCATTTCATGAAGCTTTATATCTCACTATTTGTGTGCACATGAATGTGTGTGTGTGAAGGTGCATGTTGACTTGTGTACTGGTACTATAATCCCCTGTTTTGTACAAGTGAATGCATGATCCAATTTTTGCATAGCGTGTCAAAATGTACTTTCCCTTTTCTTGTATGTACAAGGACCGTTTTTCAATGAACATATAACTGATCCTCAGTTAAATATTAGGAGTACTATGTGAATAGAGATGGCTTTTAACCAGAAGTAGATTATAGCTGCTGGAAGACTGAGGGGTCTATTTGGTCAAGACTCATACAAAACTGAGATAAGCATGCACAACCTGACAAGATCAGATTAGACCCTGCCCCCACAAGTGCTTTTCCTATAAATATTTATCTACTTTCTTTTATAAATAACCAGAAAAATGAAAAAGAGGAGCTGAGTCTATAGAAAAGAAAGAAAGGAGGAAATAATGCAGTGTCAAATCTTAGCAGAAGGGCAATGTTATTGCAAACCTTCAGGAAATTTCAAAACTAATTACAGGTTTTAATAGGAAGCAAAGGACTGAAATTCTCCACAGCAACCACAGATATAGCTGTGTTCATAAATAAAACTGAACTTTGAACACATACACATTTTGGTTATTACTAAATATATTGGAATTAAATAACTTCTCACCTATGAGAGGATAGGTGTTGACAGAGTCAGTACTGCTGTATTTTTAAGCTTGCCTAAGGCAACATAGCTGGCATTGAAGTTAAACTTGGCATTCTTTCACCCTCTCCCTCCACCCTGGAGCCCAAGTGAATGCTCACTTCATCAATGAGAAAGGCAACTGACTGGCCTGCCAGATGTAACAGAGATCCATGAATTCACTACATTTATTTTGCAAATTTGTATTACATTCAGTTCATCAGTGCTTTGATTTCACTATGATACACAGGTGTTAAGGACCCAACTATCTAGAGCCATTCCAGTGGCTGTGATTCAGAATATAATTATTTATGGTGATCCAGTAATGAGATTTTATATACACTGCCTTTATATAGGAATAAAGATATTCACATTTGAGATTTAAAGACTAAAGAAGATGAATCGCTCAGCATTTCTGAATTTTTGTAGACAGCCTTTGAGTAATATGTACAGCTTTTTAAAAACAATATTATGGGACATATAAAAATCATGGCTTAAAAACATTCTAAGATAAAAAAATGTAAGTCTGATTTTTTTAAATCTTTTTTTTCCTTCAGCGTTTTACGATGGGATAATGAGACAGATGTCTCTCAACTGGAAGGACATTTTGACATTGTTATGTGTGCTGACTGGTAAGTACATAAAAATCATAAAACTCGTGTTAGAAAAATAGCTTTGCTGGAGTAATTGTACTGTGCTGCTTGCTGATGGCTAAGCAAAGTCAACAAATGAAGCACAAAACCACCTTAACCTCAACAAATTAATATTCATCTCCATGTGACAGTTATAAGGTAGTCTTCTATCACACAGTAACTTCTACCACATTATTTCCCAAAGATTGATTTTGAGAAACATTTCCATTTTCTGGAATTGCCTCTGTTTCATGCTTGACGTATCAGTAAATGGACGACTTAGGCAAATTGCAAATAATTATGGCTCAGTGAGGAACAGTCTGGAGAAAAGGGAGTTTATCAACACAAACAGCTCAATTAGCTTACTTCTTAGGAAAGATCTGACTATTGATATAAGGGGATATATTGTTTGCTCCCCAGAAAAATCTTTGAAGGGGGGGTGGGGGAAAAGGGTTTTTAAAATCACTTGCCTTAGTTTGACTACACTGTTGGCAGGTATAGGTTCAAATGAGCTTAACATTATTTACATAGGTAAGTGTTTATGGAAAGAGAAATCTTAGTGAAAATCAGAGCGGAGTACTTAGTCTGTGACTGAGTATTTACATGTTAGTGTATGTTCTATTTAAATATATCAACAGACATGGGTAATGACACCAGCCAGTTTTTGATACTGGCAGTATAAAATCATCCAACCCTTTTAATGACTGCATGCCAACTTTTAAAACTGCATTTTTAATATTATATCTTACATGATGAAGCAAGCTAGAAAATGTAAGTGGAAGTTTCATTAAAAAACATTTGAGGTAGATTCTTTTAAACCCTTTCTTTCCGCACTTAATTTTATGTTTGCTTTTCAGTGCCATAACACACTTAAGTTTTTGTTTTCATACATGCAATCTCTGTAAGAGTCCAATTCTGAAAATAGTGCCTGCACAAGATAGCTGAATTCAGCAGATTTCTGAATCTTACTATGAAAATAGGTAAAAGAAAAAGGGGGAGGGGAGCAAGAAGCTTTCTATTGTCTTTTTAAACAATACACTTCTTGGCTTCTTCTAAAATATGACCACCAAAATCTTTTTGTTTTGTTTTGCTGATTAAGCAAACTCGTTTTTCAGAAAAGTTGCTGATTTTTTTAATAGTGGCCAGAGTATTATTTTTCTTTTGTCCTTTGCTGATGCCTGTTTCTTGACTTGTGCTAAATGCAACAGTGCTTCATTTCCATGAGCATTTCATTCCAGAAAAGTTCTTTGTTCCCAAAAAGGACAGAGATGGGTTTCTAACTAATCACTGATAATATGCTTCAGAGATGTATCATCTGATTAAAATAAGGAGCTAAACAACACCATATGATTTCAGCAAGTAATTTAGTAAATGCCTTCCTCACCAAATACTAGAATGGATACTCCAGGTTTCATTGCACAGATGAAGTTAATGCTGGACAGGATTAGATCAGATTAAGTATGAAAGTCAGATCAGAGTGCTGGCGGACATGAGCAGGAGGGCAGCAGTCTTCTCGGAGGCTTAGACAAGGCTCGCATATGGATGTTCTTCAGATTATGTGGGTGAAGCAAGGTCCTGCCAAGAGATTTAGAGTTAAATTTGTTCTTCACACAAATATCAAAACAACCTGGCTTTGCCATCTCTTGTATTCTTGATACTCACACCAGGTCATCCTATTTGTACTGGGGAGAGCAAGATTTAAGTAGTTTTTTCATTAATATTCTAACCTAATACTCCACCCAGCCTGTTTGGAAATAGTGTCGTTTTTTTAGGAAACAAAAGATTAAATGTGAGAGATAAAATACATAATGCACTTGCAGTCTCCTGTTTTTGTGTATTTGAAGCAGCTAAGATGCAAGTAAGCATATAAATATTTATAGATTTTTAATATACAGCTGTGTGAAGGTTAGTTTAAAACAGATTTTTATATACAAATTACCTTTATTTTTGTTGCTCCAAGTGCCAAAATGCAAATACACATCCATGTTACTTTAATAAGCATAAAATGACTGTAATGCTTCTCTCTTCTTAAAAATAATTGTTTCTGTAACAGAAACCATTAGTTTACCTGATATGTTGGCAGGCTGGTTAAGAATGTAGAATACATTTACCAAAGTAGAATCTTATTTTTATTTTTGTAGGAGTTTTTTCTCCCAAAAGAACAAATCCCTTCAGAACTGCTAGTGGTGTTTTTGCTTTCTGAATTTTTGAGCTGCCATTTCTTTCAGCTCCTCAGGTGAAATCTAAAGTATGCAGTGATAAAAACAGATAGAATAGATTGCATTTACTTTAACACTGTCATACAGTTCATTATCAGTCAATAAGATCTGGGATTAGAACAGGGGAATATAAAGCAAAAAAGCTGAGTTCAAATATTAGGTACATGGATAAATTCTTATTGAGGTATTTCCAGCAAGGGTGGTATTGTCTGATTGTCTGAATAGCTAACCAGTAGTACTGCTTGATCGCATTTACATGAAAACAAGCTCTATTCATAAACATTTTCCAAACCCACATTGAGGTTCAAGTAAAAATGTACATGATTACAACAAGCGGTGATATGTTTATATTCATATATTTACATTCAAACACTCATAAGCCTTGTGAGCAAGGGTGGAAAATAATTTATTTCCCAGAACAGACAGTCCATTAGTTCACAGTTAAATTTAGTAGCTGAACTAGATTATAAAATGAATAAGAGGCCAATTGTGAAAGCTAGTCATTATTTAACCATTCAAGATTTTTGTCAATAAAAAATATCAGTAGTTCCTAAATAACTTGTAAAATGTCAACTTTGAGATAAAAATAAAGACAAAATCTTGGTGAGGTCACAGCAATGATAAAGGCATTCTTGAAAAAAACCACCAAAATATTGGAGTATTATAACTGTCTGTTCCCAAGCCCAGTTGTTTTTTGGAGGGAGGATACTACTATCAAAATTGCAAGCCCCACAGTTGCACTGCAAGGATAAGTGAAATACAGGGAGACACAGGAGCTCTAAAAGCAAGACTGTGGTACAGGGGAGACAGAGATACTGATCTACTCCAGATCAGCTACCAAAGAAACTCTTCTCAAGCCCTTGAGCATCCCAAAGTTCTGCATTGATTTGAAGTGGAAGATGTATTTGATTTAAAGTAGGGGATTCCTAATTAAGAAAAAAGGAATCTGATGTCCATCTCTTTTTTTTTTTTTTTTTAAATTCAGAGAAGCCTGAAGCCAGAGGTGGTGACCAAGGGAGAATATTTCAGTTTCCTGTTAGGATGCTATGAATATGGCATAGCTACAGAATATGGCTCAGACCTGGTAACATTTAAACATCTGAATAGGACCCCGAAATCAGTGTGGCTGCTTTTTTGCTGCAAGTTAGACACGAATGTAATGGTTTGTATGATTGAGGCGTATGAATCAAGTGCTGTGTTACCTTCATTGTCAGAAGTAGGAGTTATGGATTTGCTAGGAATGCAGAATTGAGCCCAAGTTACATTAAATCAAAATGTCTTGTTCTATACTCTCTTTAATATAAAGATTTCTTTCCACAGGAATGCAGTAAGATCTCGATCGTTCTTAAGTTTAGAATAACAAGTTATTGTTCCTTTTAAGCCTGCCTCTACACGTGCATGTTCAATTGTAATGGAACCTGATGGTGTGGAAATAGGATTCTTTTTTTTTAACCTAATAAGTGTTTTTGAATGTATGACAGCTCAGCAGTTGAAGCTGTGTAAAAACATAAATGACTCTGCACATTAGGTGCTGTGGATGATTGGAAATCAGGTCTAAAGCACCAGTTGTAGCTGTTGCAGGACATGCAAAAAGAAGATATTTGATGTGATAGCCCATAAAATATAAACACATGCCCTCTGCTCGGAGATTGTTTCAGATGCAAGAAGAAATGATAAAGCATATCAGCTTTAATCTAACTTAGAAATTCTCTTTTTTATGATTTTGCTATAGTTCACTGTTACCCCCAAGAGTTTTTGTGTAAGTTTTTATTTTGTTATAATGGTGGGTTAAAATGGAAAACATGCAAAAAACCCTTAAAAATAAAAATTAATAAAAATATAGGACAAAAATTTACATTATTGTCTATAAATTTAAACAGATGTCCTAGCAAGAGTCAGTAAATACTGTTCCAGTTCCATTGATACTGTGACCAGACATTTCCATGCTGACCTGTAAAAGCTCCTCTGATTTCATTGCTGAGTCTCTGCAGTCAGAGACTTCCTATTATGGAAATGTGAAGCATTTTGTTATATGGAAAAGGGCTAACTAAGAACACCACCACACCACTTGTGATACAAGCCGAATTTGAATTGTGAGGTCCATAATGAATGGCAAGAGCAACAGACCAATATGCCACTTAGCTTCTTTGAGAGATGCTGCGAAATTCTGGGAGGATTTTCTTAAAAGGTGCATTTTTAGCATGTAATGTTGACATTTAACCACCCAAATCCTGTACCAACCTATTGCAAACACAGATCATTCTCCTGTTTTGCCATACTTAGGGCATCTTCTAATGCAAATGGGACAGAAGCATTCCCTGAGGTGGCTGCATCAGACCTACCTCCAAATTCCCAGCATTTCTACCAGCCGTTTGGGCTGTCTCTGTGGGTTGGATCTGGCCCATGGCCATAGTTTAACACCTCTGTGTTAGGTGAATACAAGCCAATACATCATTATCTGATGCAAACCTTTTTCAAGATGAGGCTTCTCAGCCACAAAACAGTTCAGTTGAGTAAGATTATGATATGACTGAATGCAGTGGCATAGCTATAGTGGAGTGATAGGAGCAACTGCCTGGTCACCAACTTGGAGGGCAGGGTGGGGGCAAAAAAAGCGACTGCTGCCAGAAGCTACATGTTTGCAATTGTGAATGCAGCCGCAACCAGAAGTCACTGCTTCTGCTTTGCCCCAAGCACCAAGGCATATCCCTACACTGCTGGCTGAATGCAACATGCTGTCATTTTTCTTGATGAAATTTGGCCAAATTGAAAAAATTCAAATCAGCTGCTTTTTTATTGGAGGAGGGCAGGGAAAGTTTGCAAAACTAAAACAGAGGCTTACTCCCCCTGATGAAAGTGTAACTTTAAAATAATCTCATCATGCTATAGTGTGGTAACAATACAAGGGGCAACCGTGCCTGAATCTATACAGTTTTAAGAAGACATACTCATGCATGAATTAACATTTTGGTTTCTTAACTCTTGTTGCGGTTTATCATAATTTCTAACACATCTTTTTAACTGCCTGCTATTCTGAGATAATATCATGTATTGACACAATAACAGCAGAATATATAAGATACTGTGTGTTAATAGCACTGAGTGGCACAGATATCTAGCTGTGGCAGGATCCTACTCCCCTGAAAAAAGAAAAAAATCCTCAGAGTATGGATGCCACTGCAATACTTAGACAAAATGGATTAGGTTAAAACAAAACCAAATGTCATAGACTTCAGAGGGCAATGCTTGGTACCTGTGCTCTTTAGTGCACATGGTAACCCCTTTTGCAGTCATAGGCCTGCTGCTGCAGTAGATAGACCTGAAGTTTTGCAGTATGTTTCCTCTGAAAATTTAGCTCCAGAAAAGAAAAAATAATCCATTGCGCTAGTATGTTACAGTGACTTTATAATTTGTATTATTTAGATACATATTAAAATCTTTTTCAATAAATTAATGTTCCATGTGCCAGTAGCTGAAGTATGAAAAACTTGCTGTGAGGTAGATTTGCCATATTTTCTTTTCTTTTAAAATAAAAATTGACTAAGAATAACACAAGAAGAAGAAAACATACACTTATATTGGGTAACCTAGGGCTAGCTCATCTTCTTGTTCCTCCCAAGAGAAGAAACTGGTGAAGACCACCCATGCTTCCAGCCAATGCCAGAAGTAATATTGGGCTCCAAAACAAGGTTCAGGTATTCCTTGCAGAAGGAAAGATTGTAGCTGTGATTCAGAGACTTCCATAAGAGAGGCATCACATTCAAGAAAACATTAAAGGAATCAGAAGTGTTGTGATCGTTATGCAGTTATCCATTCATAATAAGCAGGGATCCCAGGCCCCTCACTCCAAGCCACAGCCCCCTGGCCCTGCTGGTGCCCCTCACTGACCCCCATACCCTCTTGCCCCCCCCACCAGATGGGGGCCCCCAGATGCCAGGGCTACAGGACCTGGGACCCAGGTCCACATTCTCCTGCCCCCCACAGCAGTGCCTGAGCCCTGGCTGCTACCCGTGGGAGGAAGCAGCTGCAGCAGCACAGTGGAGTATAGAGCCTGGATCCCTTCTGCCCCCCACATGGGCAGCACAGCTGGGGCAGAGCCTGTAGTGGGGGCAGGGGCAGATTTATCTGGGGGGCAGGAGGGGGTTAGCTCTCTGCCACTGCATGCACTCTTGGGGGAATAGGGGGGCATGTGTTCCCCAGATCTGTGCATGGGGTGAGGGTGGGTGCAGGGGTGGGCTGTCCACTGTGGACTTGGGCTCCCAACCCTGCTGCCCTCCCCCAGGGTCTGCATGGCCCATCAGGTGGGACCTGGCACAAAGGGCAGAACAGGGCCACGCAGGAATGCTCCCTGCTGCTACAAGCTCTGCACTGCCCTGGCAACACACCCCCTACCCACCTCAGAGCAGTGAGGGGCACAACCCTGCTCTGCCATACCCACAGCTGCCAACCAGTCAGGGGACACATCACCAGGGTAGTGCAGGGCTCGCAGCAGTGGCACTGAGTTTCCCTGCCTGGCCCTGCTCTGCCTTGCTGTGCCAGGTCCCACCCACTGGGCCGTGGAGGCCCTGGGGCAAGGCAGCAGGACAGGGGGCTCAAGCCAGCAGTGGGCAGCCCACCCCCACCCCGCACACAGATCTGGGGGGCACAGGTCCTCCCTGCCTCCCTGGGGGTTCATGCAGCAGCAGGGAGCCGGCCCCATCCTCCTGCCCTCTAGGGGAGCCCCCCTTGACCCCATCTCACTCCTGGCTGGGAGCCTGTGGCCACACATTGTGGTCCTGGGCCTCAAGCCCTTGCACCACCGAGCTAGGCATCAGCCCCAGTTCCAGCCCTACCCAACTCCCTCCCTCCATATGGGGGCCTCATTCCCCTTCCCCCCACCCCCCACGCTTACCTGCAGGAGCTGCTCTCCAGGCTGCCTGGCATGTCCATGTTTCCAGAAACATGTATATGCACATGGCACCCTCTGCCTGACCACCCTCCTCCTGCTTCCCCCAGCCCCTTGCAAGCTGGTACTCTGCCAGCCTGCAGAGAGCTCTTTGCAAAAGAGCCAAATCCACATGTTTCTCTGTTAAAATGAAAAATCTGTGTTTTTCTCAGGCAAAAGGGAAAGTCTGTTTTTTCCCGTTTTTCTGTGAGAAATGGAAAATCCGGATCCCTGATAATAAGTCTGTGTCAGTTTCCTCCATAGATTTATTTGTAAGCATTTACTTTATGTTGAAGGTTTTGTAGTTTACATATACATAACATGGTAGCTGCACGTTCTCTTTAAGCAATTGTTTTTGTATTCCAATATTTTAAAAATCCCAGGATTTTTTGCACATTCTGGGTCTCTATGCAACTACATTGAAGAAGTTGGAGGATCAATAAGTAAAAATGGACTGGTTTTATAATCACACAGGGTATGTCTAAAGTGTAGTCTGAGATGAAATTGCAGCACATGTAGTGATAACTTAACCAGCTTTAATCTAGGCAGGTTGGGTACAAACAGAGACATCATCACAGCTATGTAGGCCTCAGTGCAGGATGTTGCCTGCCTGGGCTAGATGATAAGTTGAAGAAAATGGGTGCTGTCTCAGCTTCACTGTTACTGGTACCTGAATGAGCTCGATATGCCTGCATCTGCTGCTATCACAAGTCTGAGCGCTGTTTGAACTTACCTTAAATTGATATAATCAGGGTAGCGTGAAAGGAGGGTAGGGAAGGACTTGTCTCCCTCATGCCTTCTTCTATAGTTGTACTGTTCACAGATTTAATTTTGGAGGCACTCAAAAGGAGAAATCTCTTGCAACCACGTTTGAAACACCGCTATTGGCTTGTCATGACTATTGGTGCTACTTGGTCCCAAGCTTTCATTAGACAAGCACCTCCTACAAAAGACTGTAAAATCCTGGAGTTTGTCCTCGTAGTCCAGGGATGCACAATTATTGGGACTGGAGGGCCACTTAGGGAGTTTTGGTGAGCTGTCATGGGCTGGGTCAGAACCCCCCCACCTTGCCCACAACAGCTCACTAAAATTCCCTAAGTGGCTCTGCCCCATGCTCGGCTGATAAGGTGACCACCTTTTCAAAAGGAAAAGGTGGGCTACATGCCCACTTCCCCACCCCCCCGCAACACAGCTGGACCAGAGCCAAGCGGAGTGGGGGTGGATGCAGGCTTCCCGCTGTGGGCTCCTTGCCCTGCTGCCTTTCCTCTGGAGCCCCGCACCAGCTACACACCCTCTGCCTGCCCGTCAGCAGCAGAGAGGCACAACTCCATGTGGCCACCCCCACTGCTGCTAGGTGGGCAGGGGGTGTCTTGCCATGGCAGCACGGGCCCAGGGCTGAGCTGTGATCTGCTCCCCTGCAATTGGTGCCAGTTCTGTGGAAAGGAGTATGTTGGGAGAGGATCACAGCTCTGCCCAAGGCCTGGCCCTGCACTATTACTGCCCAGTGATCCCGGGGTCTCCATGGAGACCAGCCTGGGACCCATGCCTTACTGGGCTCTTTATATACCAGTTGTGTGGATAAAGAATTTCACTCTCAGGATGTGATGGCTCTGCACTTGGGTGTCTCTTTGTTACACTGGAACAGCGCATGCCTAGCAAGATGGGGAACTTGGCTTATAGAAGTTACCATAATGCAAATGAATAAATATCAAATTAATAAACTGATGATAAATATTTAAATGGCCAAAGAAAAAACTTTTAAGAGTAGTATACTAAATGCAATGGAGAGGATACTTTAAAGAAACAAAACAACCCTCTATTTAAACCTTTCTATACAAAACAGCATGTGAAATGGTAACCCTGCATTACAGTATATTGATCCTAATTTCTGATATCCACACTATTAAAACATTAGCATACATGATCTGTTAATTCCTGTCACATAACAAAATTGCTTCATGCTGATATTTTGGCCTTAGCTTTAGATAACATTAGTTGCAGGATTCAACTGGGGGTGTGTGTTTTCTTTTGTTTTTTTACTAAAACATACATTAATTGGAAGGAAGGAAATTTAGACCTTAGTTTCTCCTTTTCAGCATTGTGTAAACATATGTAATTAGCCTTGTACTTATCTGCATTAGTATCATTAGAATTGAAAACCCATTTTAATCTGGATTCTGTTCTCTTCTCAATGTCAGCCTGTTTCTGGACCGGTACAGAGCTAGCCTTGTTGATGCAATAAAGAGATTACTCCAGCCCAGTGTAAGTATGTTTCTATTTTCTCCTGAACACTGGCTTCAGAATAATTAGTCTGTGCACAATGATTGAGAGAGTAATGGAATGGCAGGATTAATGTCATGTAATACTTTAATACTTATTATGTCCAACTTCAATTGAGTCTTCTAATCTATCAGATTCTTTCCTAATCATAAACTAGGAAACTTCTTATACTTGGCCTTCTGATAAGGAACACAGTGGGTAGTAAAATAAATGAAACCGCTTCAAAGATAGTGTGAGATTATTTTTATCAAAGCTTTTCTTGAGTATTTTCCTTTGATAATAATGTCTTCATATTAAAGTAAAAGTACGATATTGAAAGTTTTTATGTTGGCTTCTGTCATTTTTAATCCCTTCAATAGTAACCTTTGTCATAGTATATTTATTTATTGTGAAAGAACATTTTTTCCTTTCATTTCTGTTTATATTAAATGAATAAAGTCCTTATACATCTGTAGCCTACAACTTGTTTTCTTTATGAAATAAGCTGTGTATTTACATATTATAAATAGTGAAGTACACTGAACTGAAGCACTACATGAAATGCTATGCCATTTGTATATTTTTGTCAGTGATGAAATTATACTGTATATACATTTGAGTCTGTCAGGAAGAGATCATCAAAAGTAGAGTTTATATTTAACTCTTTTAACTCATTTAAATCCCCCAAATAAACTTAAATCTCAAGAATTATAAAACCAACAGCAATAACATTAAATTAAATTATAATAAAATAAAAATCTAGGAGGTCATTGCACTCCAAGGAAATTCAAAATAAGCTTGTACTGGGCACATTTAGTGTTCCCGTCTTCTTTGAAGAAACCCCTTTCTTTTGACACGTATGCATGACATTTTCTTAATTTTATGTTAAAGAATCTGCCCTGCTTTTTCATATTTATTTTTTTCCCTATAAAAATAAAGAAAGAGAGACCAAACCTGTAAAGATTTAAGACAGGGGACAACTTTAGTCATGGGTAATCCCATTACAATTCTAAGGTGATCAGGGTTCTGTTCTTGGTTTTGTCAAAAGCTTCCTGAAGCAACCTAGGGTAAGTCACTTAGCTCACTACAACAGTTTAGTCCTAATGAGATAGTGTTTCCAGAAACAGAGGAGGAATGTGGACACTCCAGAAATGTGGGGCTGGGAGAAGTTGAACTCCCTTTCTTCACTAGGGTCAGTCTTGCTAGCTGGCATAGACAGATGACCATTGATTGTTCTGGGTGCTGTACACAACTTCTTTGGCAAAACTCCACTGGTAGCTTATGAGTATGTCTACAATAGAAAAAATAAGTTCTTAGCTTAGTAATTCTGTTTAAAATAGCAGTAAAAACAGGGAAGCTTGGATTTTAATGTGGGTTAACAGCTCAAGTTAAGGCCCAAAGAGAATTCTTAACCTGTTATGATGCACATTACATAATTTTCACTGCTTTTTTTTTTTAAACCAGGTTAGATTACATGAGTTGGCTACCTTAAATTAAAAACTAAACTGTGGTTTTCAGCATAGACATACCCTCAGTATCTGCTTCTTGTGTGGATGCAAAAGTAAAGCTATGTATGTGTCTATTCCCTGCCTCTCCAAGCTTCTCTCCTGGTACAGGTTCTGGTCTCAACATAACATGTAAGCTGTGTTATGTCTCCAGTTTCCAATCTCTAATGAGGGTAATGCTTCAGCTCCAGAGAGGTGCTGTGAGTTTAACTCATTCTGGCTCTGTTTCAACATTTAATTGGGAACTTGGGTTTATACATTGGCGTAATTCTTCATTTGTTTAAGAAAGGACTTAAGCCCATGCTCAAATTCAGTTGAAGTCAGTAGAACAAAAGTACATACTAGGTGTGTCTGCATGAGACATTAACTGCCCAGTAGTGCATCACAGCATGGACATTGTTAATATGCTACTGCACAATATTATTCGGCTACCGCGCAGTAGCATCACTAAAAAGGTGTTTGCTGGTGCTCCTGCACAGTAACTCCAGTTACTGGGCAATTATTTAGTACTTGATTATACAAGTACTAAATTAAATGTGCAATAACCATTGTACATTAATGAACACATAGATGCACCCAGAATCTAGGAACAGATTTCAGAACGTGCTTAAAGTTAAAAATCCAGTTTGGCTTCTTGGATACTTCCAATGTAGACTTCAGCATGCTTAAAATTAAGGCTTCTCCAGAAGGTGATTCAGAGAAACAGGGTTAGGTGCTTAGGCTCCTTATGCACTCAGTGGAGAGAATTAGGTGCCTCTAAAGAGTGTTTGAAAGAGCCCAAACACTAAACAGTAAGGCACCTACAGCTAGGCCATAGGAAACTTCTAGTGCGAAGGTGTGTATGAAGTCCTACTCCTCTCTGGAGTTAGGTACTTGAATCAAGTTTCCACATTAGACCTCTCCATTCATGTGAGATCTCGACTGTGAATGTTTCTACTGAGAATAGATACTTAGTTGAGGTGGGAGCAGCGGTGGTGCAATATGAAAATTGCTAACAGAAAATACGGGTATTAAGGCTGTGCAAAGCTTCGATCCCTGATTCAATTCGGCAAAGATTCAACACGATTTGGTGGCCAAATCTCCAAATCCAGATTGAATCAGAGGACCCTTTAATCTTTCCAAATTGAATCAGAACCCTCCAAATCAATTTGGAGAGATTCAGAAAGATTTGGTGATTCGAACATAGACACAGCTTTAAATGTTTTTTCTACATACCTCTAGATACCAGGCAGCTCATGATTGCTGCAATGCTGGGGCGCATGGAGTGTCCCACAGAGGCACGGGAGGCTCCCCAGTGCGCTTGGCAGCAGACCCAGAAGTGGACCAGAAGCACTTCTGGTCCACTTCTGCGTTCATCACCAAGCATGTAGGGCCCCCCCACCCCTCCCCCCACGCTCCTGTGGGACGCTCCATGCACTCCACCATCGCAGCATTCATAAGCCATGCTCGTACCTTGAGGTATGTAGAAAAAACATTTAAATCTGCATCTATGGTAGATTTGACTGAATTAAATCAGGGACAGTGATCCAAATCAAGAAATCAAATCACTGTCCCCAATTTGGGCTGAATCCAAATCGAATAGGGCCAGCTTCGCACACCCTTAATAGGTATCCCAGCTAAGGTGATTGAAGGGGGAAATAAGAACAAAGCATAACTTACCTTTAAAAAAATCCCTGTTCTTCCTCTCTGAAACCCTCTAAAACTTCTTGGTTCATTAAAGATTCCATCATTTTTTGACAGCATGGATGCTAAAAATCTTCTTGTATTATAATGTGTCAGAATTATGCATTTCTGGATAACTTTAATATTATCAAGAAATGTTAACAGATTCCATTGGATGGGAGGAGGAGAATGTTTAAGAAACATATTTCTGATTTGGAGCTGTTATAAATTAACATGAAATACTTTGTTTAGCTAAATCTCACACCAGTCTCTTCAATCCAGATCCAACTCTGTTGGGAATTGAGAACTTCATTGAAGAGGCATAGATGAGGCATGAGTACTTACAATAATTACAAAATCATTATTTCCTGTCCATTGGAATTACATTCTAAGAAGGACATTCTGTAGCAAATTGCAGTGGAAAGGAAACCAGAAAGAGGTCTTTAAAGGATTTTAGAACAACAAATTGTGTTCCAGATAGCAAAACTACATTTTCCATAATCAGCTTCTCATTGATAGGATGTTTCAGAAAGGGCTGTGTGACATCAATTCCTTAGCAACCTTGATGTCAGGTGCTGAAGATGCAGGATGCCATTTAAACTGTCATTACTCTTATTAAATACTAGCTTTAAAACTGCAACCTAGAGGTAACCTGTGCAAGTTCTGATTTAGAGGGCTCTGATGCAGGTAGGCTACATCAAGAAAAGCTAGAGTTATTATTTCAGGCATCATCTATAGTTGCATATTGAAATGGAAAGAACCTGGTTATCAGTGCATTGCTGCAGAATTTCTAAGAATTCAGGAACCATTTAAAATTCATTTTACTTCACTTCAGAACCTAACTGTAACTTACTGCACAATTTCAGAAACCCCAAATGTATCTAAAAACATTGTGAATGTAAATGAATTAACTCTAGTCATAATCCTTATTTTCACTAAGGACATTTTGCATCACTTTGGTAGTATAAAGTAGACATAAATTACATTTACACTCACTTTAACATCCTTTCACACTGTCAGAGCCATGTAAAGTGGCCTTAATGTGAATAAGAATTAGGCCTATATTTTTTAGGTCAGCAAATTGTATTTGGACAGCTAGATTTTATTCTCATATTAATAAACTACTTCATTTTATTGAAATGTAATTTAAGCAGGTTTTTGCTTCACATTGAAATGCATTTTTAATTCTAATAGCATTTTCATTGCTATTAGAATGATCATTTCTTTGTTTGCACATTTCCTTAATAAACACTGTAGTGCTTTTGGCTCAGATCCTGCAAAGGTCTCTCCAGTATCCATGTGGAGTCCTACTGAAGTCAATGGGATGTTATGACAACCTAAAGCTTTGCCTGAACAAATCAGACACAATTTAATAATAGCAAATGATGAATACAATAGTAATTTATTTCCAATGACAGTCATGTTGAAAATCATACTTCTGTCTTTTTTAACTACTCGTGTTACCATAGGGCTTCAGATTGCAACAGAGAAATAAGGGGAAAGAAAGGTATTTTCTTTTCTTTTTCAGTTTTTTTATTTCATGCATTTTGGCCCTAATTCAGGAAAGGATTGAAGCGCATGCTTTAAATACCCTTCTTAAGGGAATGCCTTCTTGACTTGGAGTCTTTGTATAAACCAATTTAATCTCCACTGGATAGCAGTTGGATACAGACTAGAGCTTCAGTTTATATTGTTTTTCTTTCTTTTTCACAAAGCAACAAAAAAATGAAAAACCTTTTTAAAATGAAAAATTAGCAGGATAATTGAGGTCAGGCATTTTATTTGAAACAACTTTTAACCCTATATTTTTAATTGCCTACATTTACTGGTATACCT